CAAGAATTTATTTTCTTCTAAACAATACTAAAATATAAAATTGATTGAAGAAACGAACTTTTTATACAATAATAAGCAAATTTCTTTTAATTTAATAAACTTAATTGAAGTATTAAACTTACTAGGATTAATATTTTGAATAAATTTAATGTTTGTAATGAACTTATGATAGATTTGCGAATGTAAACTTTTGAAATGCTTGAAATAATTATTACTTGTGTATTTTTCTGTGTGTGCGCGAGTAGACTGCGTTATCTTTCAACGTACATAACGCTGCAAAACATGATTCAGTGCAGAGTTGCAACATTCCGGCGAACGATCGTTTACAAGTGTATCAAACATATTGTAAACTTTAAAGAAAAAAAGTACATTGCTTTCGAAAATTTAGAATTTTTTGGAAGTTCCTGTTGACTTGTGAAAAACGTAGCTAACATGCTACGTTTTCTACGTGACGCTTTTTGATGATCACGCTTTAAAGATAAAGTTATCTTCCGGCATGCACAACGCTGCAAACATTTCATTGCAAGGTTGTACTTTTTCGGCACGATTGTTTTTTACAAGAAAAACATATCGAAAACTTCGTGAAAGTAAAATGTATTGCTTTCGAAAGTAACGAATTTTTTTAGAAATTTTTAATATGTGCGTATTAATATGTTACATTTTTTACACACTTAAAGAAACATTTCTTTGATTAAAATAATGTGTTTGAATCAAAGAAATTTGTGCATTAAAGGAAAGTTTCTTTGATTTGAAAATCATTTCTTGAAATCAAATAAACTTTTATTTTCTCCTCAAAGATATTTTCACTTTAACTTAAAAAAATTAACAACAGAAATGATTTTTTAAATTTAAATATAACCTTTCTTTAGGTGCATGGTATTGTACTTTTTATCACACTTTACAAAATGACGTTATCTCTCAGTATGCATGCACTGAGAAAGATTTGGTATATGTAATAATCATTTGTTAAAAATTGGTTAGTCAAACCAAAAATTGTATTGTTTTAACCAAATTTTTATTAGAAAAACACAATTTCTAAATAAAAAAGTAAGAAAGTTTTTATTAGTCACATATCAACAAAATAAAATGTACGTTATTCATACCAAAATATTTCCTTCAGTGTAACATTGCAAACACGTTTAATTGCATGAATACAACATTCCAACAAATAATCATTTATTACAAGTGTGTAATAAACACATATTGTATGTTATAAAGTGTAATAAACTTTTTGTGAAAGTAAAATATACCTACTTTCGAAGTTATCAAATTTTTTGAGAAGTTTCTGTAACACATATACAAAAAAACCAATTTGCTAAAGTAAAAATTAAACTAGATATTTAGATGAGGCATTCCACGTCAAATTGGACACTTTTGAAACATTGTCATTTTTTTTTTAAATTCGTTGACATATTCTACAGATAAAAATATGAGACACGTGTTTGGCGAAAAAAAATTGAGATTTTTTTTGTGAAATTATTCACTCTTATAAGTTACAGAAATTTACAAGAAACGTCGCTCATGCGAACATTAAAATTATTATCGTCGAAACTATTAGTTGTACAAAAAAAAATGCAAGAGAAAGATCTTAAATTGTTCTAGGTTATTTTTAATTTATGATTTTTGTATAAATAAATCATTTTCCATCTGTTTACATTTTTTATTAACATTTTTTTCATTAACTCAATTTAAAAATTTTATTAAAATATCATCATATTCCCACTTCAATTACGAATTAATCTCGAAAATTTTAAAATAAAATTTGAATGAACGATATAATTAAAAAATTTTGTTATGTAAAGGCACGGTATTGCATACTAATGATTTCGATGATATCATGATATAAGAAGACAACGTATACCTTTCTCGATAGAAGAAGAGTGAATTTGAGATAAAAATTTGATTGGCTATTCCAATACGTCAGCGCTATTATACGCAGGAAATTTCATAGAGACCAAAATTTGATTGGTTGTTTCCAGTATTGCTATCGCCATTATGCGTAACAGTACACCTTGTATTCTTACATCTTGGATGATATAATTTTAATGTTTATATAATTTTAATGTCACAGTAATAAGTAATCTTTACGAATTTCTGAAACTTATAAGCGTGAATAACTTCACAAAAAAAATCTCTAATTTTTTTCGCGAAACACGAGTCTCATATTTTCATCTACAGAATATATCAGCAAATTAAAAAAAATATTTAAAATGACGATGTGTTAAAGGTGACTTGGTTTGATGAAGAATGCCTCAGATCTAAAAACAAATTTTATTAAATTATCAATATAATTATGTAAGACGCTTAAACTGGTTGTTAGAATGTTATAATTTTTTACACTGATCATTATGTTTAAATTTCCTGTATAATGTATTTTATGCTCCAATAAAACTTCTTTTCGGATCTGTATCTATCTGAATTTTTAAATATTTCAGCAAAATCATTCTTTACATATACAATACATCATTTTTTTTACCTTACGCTTTTCAGTTGCACCTTAAAGAGAAAACAGGTTGAAAAGTTACACAAGAACTTGTTAAAAGCCTTACATCACTTTCCTTTTTTCCGCAGAGTCAAGGTCCTCTCTCAAAGTCTGTTTTTCTAAGTCATCAATGTCGATTCATATCACGTAATGATAATATTATCATATTTTATGATAATATGATCATATTTTAAATAATGGTAATATTATATAAAGTCTAATAATAATATTATTGTGCGGTATCTAAAATTGTCAAGCATTATATCAGCAAGCAATAGTGCCACTTCTTTGACACGTTCATATATATCTTCTTTATATAAAGAGATAAATTTATACACTGAAAGAAAAGATTGGCTGAATAGAGCCAATATGACATAGCATTTTCAATTGATTGCAACAGCCAATTTAAAATGCTATGCCATATTTTATCATCTAATTTGCCGCAATAACCAATCTTTTCTTTTAGTGTAGGACAACCTGTTGAAGTGTTTTTAATTTACACATTTATCATTTTTTACAATTAACTGCTCTATAAGAATTATATAATGGTCAAGGACGTAGATCAAGAATACGCGGCAAAATTATACTGTGATTAATATACGTAATGCCATCGATGGAATAAATTTCATTTTTTCGATAGTTATCAATCACGAAGAAAAACTAATGTGATGACCAGTAGGCATTATTGATACAGCATCAACAACGTTTTGTTGTATTTTTTCGATTTTAATAGATATGTGTATAACATATACGTATATCTGTTGTATAAATTCTTTTTGCTTTTCAGTAAAATTTACATATATAATTATATATAAATAAATATAATTATATATGTATAAAATATGTTATATATGTTATGTGATATATAATATGGTTTCTTTTTCTTATATAATCTTTATTCGCTTATATATATACAGCAAATAACATAGAAAATAATTAAAATAATTCGAATTTTCTTAAAGATCTATATGGACTTTTTGGATAATCATAATTACGCAATATTGTACAAATGTAATTATAATTGTTTAAGACTTCAAAATATTTCTCTGGCCACACAGAACGACTTCTCCGAATGTTTCCATACACCATCATTGCTGAGTCACGTTTCCAATGACAGTTCGCATGAACGTGACGCGCCAATGAGAAGTTTTAATCCGTAGCCTCTATATTCGGTTGACTATTTACATTAATTAACTATCGTTTCTATGAAGGATAAAAACGTGTTTTTTATTGATTTACGCAACTGCTGACAATATCGCTTGATTCATTGCAAGCGTCAGTTGTTCTTGCTTACCGCTCGTGTAATATTAGAATATAAATATATTACGTCAACGTATTGATGATTATTATCAGTGATTATATATTCTAAGTATATTATATTATTGTAGACTTGCTTGAGTTTAATATTTCAGATCAAATAGACAATATAAGATAAAAAACTAGATGATTAAAGAAGGGATAAGAGTTTTAATTTGGAAGCAAAATTTGTGAATTTATTTCAGGAAAAGGAATAAATGACATAGTTCTTTATAAGATGTGGAAAATTAAATTGTATTATAAAACTCTAATGTTTTTAAATGTTGTTCTCTATAAGATGTAGAAAATTAAATTATAATACAAAATTAAATTGTAATACAATTAAATTGTAATGCAAGATTCATTAGAAATATAATTTATTATTATTGAAAACAGACCCAAAAACTGTGAAGTACTACGCGTTTTGTTATCACGATTTCATAATTTCTAACAAAATTTGTTATTTTCTAAACTACTTTTTCTCAGGAAATTCCATAGATTGAATCTAAAATAAACTATTAGAAACATATTATTATACAAAATAGTAACAATATAAGCATAAAACTCTAATTTTTGCATAAAAATCGACAAATATTTACATTGTTACTATTTTGTAATAGCATTTTTCTAATGTCTGTTTTAGATTTTAATCTACAAACCAAAATGCACTGAGAAAAACTAAATCCAAACCTTGATACAAAAAAGCATATTCCATTGCAAAACTCAAAATTTTCAGGTCTGTTTTTAATGACAGAAGACTTCAATATTTTTAGTAAATTATTTTTGATAAATTTTGTATTACAAATTAATTTTTTACAACTCAAATTTAGTAATAAATAACATTTAAACGAATAACAGTGTTCCTTTGAATCTTCCTTGAAATAAATTTATAAATTTCGTTACCAATTTAACTGTAAAAATCTCATCTTTAACCGTAAAATTCTCCTGCACTCCTCCCTCTAAAAAATTTCATTAACTCTTTATATTTTTATATCTTTTTATGTGTAATTAAAATTGAAACAATATTATTTGCAAAATTTTTCTTCCACATTATAAATACTCTTTATATTTTATCTTATTAATAAACTGGCACAAATTAGCAATTAATTGTGACCATAAATCGACAAGTGTTTACTATTGCTGTTAGAAAATATCTGTTAAAAAAAATAGAATAAAATTAGCTAAAAGAGAGGGGCTTACTAATATGTTACCACTTTTTCAGAAATGATGTTATCGGACCTCACTGAAGTGCCGTTCATAAAAATTGGCGATTTTAAGCTCGAATTCGAGCTCGGGCCTCCTAATCCAGAATTGCAGGAAGTAGCAAGAAAGGAATTAAGAGAGTCTCCTGAGATACAAAAACAGTCGATAACACGCCTGCAAGAATTATTAAAAGGTAGCGTGAATATAAAAAAATCTGTTAAGTTAACGTAAAGATTATGAAATACGAAATAAAAAATATAAAATAAAATATGAATTGTAAATAGCAACACGTTAAAGAGTATTCCAGTGTAGAACATAAAAATGTGGCTTATATTTTGGAGAATATTTTTTTTTTTTTAAGACACTGCTGCATATATTCTTTTACGCTATCTATTTGTACGTATTTATAGTAAGTATCGGCAAATTTTGATATGGCTAAATGTTTATTTATTTTTATATTACGTAAATTTAAAAATAAAATATATAAAAACATGCGTCGGTGACTGACATTAAGTCTATTTTTTATAGCTAAACTAGTGTACATTTTTAGAACTTAAAGTGAGATAGGTATATGTTTGATATTTGGTGAAAGCGAGAAGGAGAGTTCTAGTACAATCTAATCAAGTCTAGAGTCTTTATAACAAAGTCTGGACACTGCGTTCGCGCGCATGCCCGTTCGCCATTAACAGTCGAAACCGGAAATGTATCGCCGTGTTTGTCGTTAAATTCAAATGACTGTTTGCTGTTATATGCGACAATAGAGTTGAATTCAAACTATTTAAATAATCTAAGATGAAAGATAGAGTAGAATAGAATTGTATAAGCGAGCAAAAATATGTCTGACAGCGTGTCAATATCCCTGCATTCGTTTATACAGCGGTTAGCGCAGAAGTATTATTTTATCCTTGTTATTCATCGAGTGTTAAACAAAGATTATATTTAAATACTTACTCTCTGCGCTAACCGCTGCGTAAACGAATGCACTCTGGGGACTCTAGTCAAGTCTAGTGTAGGAAATGAAAAACAGAATAAAAACAGATCTATGATTGCAGCTATCTAATTTGTCTAATGTCTCGAAGTCATTTTTATAAATGTGTTAATATTTAAACTTTAAACCAACTGTATATATATAAAAGTTACGTTTATAACATATATTATGTTTATATTATGTTTAACATTCTGTTTTTATTGAACAACGCATTTTTATAGTTTATTTTTTTATTTTTTTATTACTTTTATTTTTATAAACTAAAATTTAAAAAATGCTAACAAATATCTAAATACTTTTGTATGAATGCTTTAAGTATTCAAAATAACTTTGTGATCCAGATAGTAAATCGTCATCAAAAATTTATTATATTATTTATAAATTTATTATATTAAATGTGATTTTAGAATAATCGGTAATTTTTTATAATTTTGTTATTATTCTGAAATCTCTACAAAACATCCTTATCCGAAATAAAAGATACAAAAGAATTTTTAGTTATTACTAATTATTATTATTAGTGTGACTATATTGTAAACTAGGATAAATTAAAAATTGCAACTGTTCAAATGATATGGTTTTAAAAAGTAAGTATCGATTTTTTTAACAAAATGTTTTAATTTAATATTTATAAAAAAGTAATTAATTTATACATATTACAACAAATCAATTCATGCAATAAACAGACTTGTGTTTTACATATACGGGAAAGTTGAAATTAATAGATTCAGTAATTACTGAAATTATATTAACCAACTTGAAAGATATGAAACGCGTTTTTCTATTCCATAAAAACGCGTTTAAGGTTTTAAAAATATAGTTGCAATACAAAAATTAAAATTTATCTCTAATCACTAATACCGGTTATATAACATAAACCCTCCTCTAATTCGAAATGCTTATTTTTCATTTTTCTTCAATCTATGCTTGATAACAGTTGCCTTTGAGCGTTAAGCTTAAGTACGTCGCATTTTAACAGATCATCGTGAATATATTTGCGAAGCTTTTTAATCAAATTTTTAATGACATTTGATTATGATATTTTTTATATCATTTTTCTTTTGTAATTTGTTTGTTCCAAAAATTACTATATATACTTATCTGGATATTTTGTGACCAATCGATTTCTGTTTAAGCAAATTTCTTTGACTGGACCCACGGTGATCCTTATCTCCTCTTAAAAGAGAATTTGTGAAAGAAGAGATTTATGCGCGATGTGATGACCCCGCAGCTATCTCTCAATTTCGCTATAAACAGCACAAAATTCAATTCTGGATATACATATTTATGTTTTTCAAAAATTTTATTTTTTGAAGAATTTGAAATTCTTGAATTTTTTTCAAAACTTTGTACCTAAATTTAAAAAATCCTAAAGAAATTTTTATATGCATTTATTATAGATAATAATAATTATTATTATTATTAGGCGTTAGGAACTCGAAAGTCCCGCCACTGTTCCCGTGCCTGAGCAAGATCCCTCCATTTGTGACCCTCGTACCCCATTTCGTTAAGGTCCATTCTAATATTATCTTCCCATCTACGTCTTGGTCTACCCAATGGTCTTTTCCCATCCGGTTTACCAATTAGTATTTTATATGCAGTTCGATAATAGATAATTACAAGATAATTACAAGATAATAAATAATTACAGTTCGATTATAGATAATTACAATTTTTAAATCAAATGCAATTTTTATCCAATTTATAACTTTGTTTATGACTTCTTCGATAATTAAATTATACTACATTTTATTATTTTCCAAAATGAAATTCAAACATTTGTTCTACAAAGTTAAAAGTATGTTTGTAAATTTTTAAAGTCTTTTTGTAATCATTTTAAATAGATGAAAAGATGAACAGATTCGAGATACTTTCGATAATAAAGATCATAAGACACCGAATTGATCATGATACTGTAAGAATTAAACTTTTTGGGTATTTTTTATAACTTACTGTTTTTATAACTACTGTTTAAAATTTTTTATAATTATTTAAAATTTTTATTTGACAGCTGAAAAAGATTTGAAATGCCCGTTGGACAATGAAGCCTGGTTGATTAGGTTTTTGAGGCCGTGCAAATATTATCCCGACTCATCTTTCAAGCTCATCAAACACTATTACAACTTCAAAGTGAAACATGCGAATGTGTACGACAACTTAAAGCCGAGTAGAGAGAAAAATGTCTTCGAACAAAACATTCTAACTGTGCTGCCTAATCGCGATCAACACGATCGACGTATACTGATAATTGAACTTGGCAAGAAATGGAAGCACAACAAGTGCAGCCTCGATGAAGTTTATAAAGGATGTGTATTGTATTTGGAAGCGGCCATGATGGAGCCGAGTACACAGATCGCTGGCGCGATTGTCATCTTTGACATGGATGGTCTCACCCTTCAGCAAACCTGGCAGTTTACCCCGCCGTTTGCCAAGAGGATAGTCGATTTGCTTCAGGAGGCAATGCCTTTAAGGGTAAAAAACATACACATTATAAATCAACCGTATGTATTCAACATGGTGTTCGCTCTGTTCAAACCGTTCCTGAAAGAGAAGTTGAAAAATAGAGTGAGTATATTATGAATCAAAATATTAGCAATACCTATGCTATCAATTTGTCAGCAGATTCTAAAAAAATATTGTGGCAATTTAGAGATGAGAAGTTATATGGAGGAAAATATGGTGATATTATGGTACTCCCATTTATGTTTTCTAAATTTATACAACAATTTGATTAATAATCAGTATTTAAATTTGGGACTTAATAATTACATTTGGCAAAATGTTCAATCGATTCTAGACTCAAAGTTACAAAAAACATTTATCACTTAGAACACTATAAAATTGTGGCGACACTGCATAATGGTTCAAAGAGAACAGGAGTAGCCTACAAAACTAAATTTAAAAAATTTATTTTGTTTAAAAAATAATATTTGGTTACAAAATTAATAAGAGAGTAAAATATTGCAGAATGTATATACGCCGCATATAGGTTATTTAGATTAACAAACAGAGTTAAAAGTATATAATAACGATAAATTATTATATTTCAAGTAGGATTTAGTTTTCTTAAATATTGATGATTTGATTTGCTAATTCGATTTTTATATATTTTTTTACTTTTTTCTTCTGCTAGATAATTTTTCACGGCACCGATCGCAAATCATTGCATCAATACATATCGCCGAAATGTCTACCAGCGCAATACGGTGGTACGCTGGAAATAAAAACGATAAATGGACCCGAATGGTACTCCTTGCTGATACAGGTTGACAAGGAATATGAAGGTATGTCTAAAAGAAAATTGCATCACTCGTTTCATAATAGTAACAAAATGAACAAAATGACAAAATTGAAATAAAGTTCAAAACCTATTTGACGTGAGTGTATTTTAATAAAACTTTTTTATAAGAACGATCTTTTTTCTGTTGCAGCTATCAGTTCGTACGGCTATAAAAAGACATAGTTTCTTAATTGCCTTGAAGCATTAAAAAATAGATATGGATTTAATAAGATTTGGATCAAATACGAAGAAACAATTATAAAGCGTAACATTTTCGAGGAAAAATATTAGATTTAATATCAATTACGACAATCATAGATCGTTCTTATATATATAATATATTCAGTCCTCGAAATGTTATTTTCACGAAGCCTTGCTTACTTTGTAAATTTATTTATAACATATATTATATATTATTGTACAGGCTTTTAATTCTCATTTCTTGTTTCAACAATTTAGCAAAATTGTATAAGATAAATGTAACATTGCTGAAAGAGTGATGTAATTATTCATAACGTAATGATCACATTATTTCTGTACTTATTTTTTAATTTTGATACGGAAAAAATTGATATTGATTACATATCAATGATCTTATTTTCGGAGTAGAGATCAATTACATGTCAATGATCTTGTTCAAGATCAGTAAAAATTTTAAATTTTATTTCTTATACATACTCTTAATCACTCTGTAATCATGTGATAAAAGTATTATACATTTTGCATAGATTTCGTACATAATAAATGAAATGTATTTATATCATTTATTAAAAATGCATATGTATGT